CGAAAGGGAAAGTGATTTTTTTTTTAAACCAATAGAGATTTAATAGAAGAAACACTTAACTGAGAATTCAGGCTGATTTGGTTTAACTTGCTGCATTTTCACTTGATAACTGTAGCACATGTTGGTGTAGTATTGATTGACATTTACATTTTGGTAAAATGCGTCAATTCTGTTAAAATGCCTAAATTATGTCAAGTGAGTCATGGTTAAGTTTTTCATCATAAGTTAATTTTAACAGCTGGGCAGATTCTTAACATTACATTTTTTGTGGAATAAAAGTTCTTCCTGTAGGTTTTCTTATGCGGCTTAGAACTTTTTTTTTTTTTTTTTTTTTTTTTTTTTTTTTTTTTTTTTTGAGAGATCAAAGATCAGTTTATAGTGTTTGGATATACCAATAAAATAAGTTTCACTTCTTTCTTCTCCCCCACCCATCAACATCACATTTTGTTTTCAGTGATGGGTTGATAAGTGTTATACAGACACACATTACCAAATGATCAGAAGGAAGGAGAAAGCAGAGAAGGGGAAATGAATATTATACAAACAAACACTTCCCCTTTTCTTCCTTCTCCCCATCTTAAGTTCCCAATAAAAGTTTTTGGAAAAATGTTTTTTTGATTGTAAGTTATGCCTACTCTGCATCAGAAGTGCGATTGCAGCCATTTGTAGACATACCTGTGCTAGCTTTAATTTAGCTGGATTAGGTAACAATGGGTGCATCTACACAAGACACTACTGTATATTTATTTAGTACTTGTATTAGCAAATGTGCAGTAACTGAAGCTACTATGCAGTAGTGCTGGTGAAATGTCTTTTAGGTGATGCTACTGCGCAATAGCCTTATAATACTGCACAGTCTCCAATTAGCACAGTTTGTGCTATGACGTGTCACTGCGTAGTATTTTTTGTCTACTGTGTAGATATGCGGCAGCAGCAGTAAAGCTGGCTCGTTGGCCTTAAGTGAAATCTATAGGAGTCTGTCCAAGGTCCTCTGTCATACTTGAACTTTTTGTGCAGTGTTAGCTGCAGCTTTGCTGTTCTTGGCATCTGAATTAGTTTAACTAAAGCTTGCTTTACATAGCTACACATACTGCATCAGATTATTTCAGTGTAGACCTACTGTTAATGCTGCAAACTTCACGTGACCAGCAAACCATGTGTATTTTGGGCTACATGGTTAGCTAAATTGATTGCATTTGTTTCAAATATAGGATAAACTAGTAAAATAATAGGTCAAAACCAGACATCTTAAATGCATACTTCCTTGTAAATGTCTGATGAGAGCATTGGAGAGCTGTTTACTATAGATTTAAGTGGAAGAAGAACCCTGTACAGTATCTCTTTTGTCAGTGCCCTATCTATGTGACCTCAGTTCCAAGCATCTGACACCATTTAAATCAATTTTACACCAGAGGCCAGAGGCTGACAGCCAGATAATGCACAGATTGTGAGAGACTACTTTAAAAAACAAAACAAGACAAAAAATCCCCCCACAGAAATAAACCTGTTTTATAACATGCTGACATAAAAAAATGTTCATCACTTTATAAATTATATATCCTTGCCCAAATTAGTTCACAACTGAGGGAGGGGGTAATGAATGGAAACACCAAAAAGTTAAGAAATGTGCATTTTTTGGATATTTTTGAAATTTGAATTATTGCTAGACACTTTCCCAGCGCATCTAGCCTTTGGTGCTTGAGGTGCAGATTTGACTCTTGGAGTTTCAAAAACTTTAAAAAGTGCTATCAAATCTGACCTCCCTCTTCCAACTGTTTTTCATTATGCTGTGCTTGATTTTACTCCGCAGACCTTAAGACAAGTGTTTGGAAGCATGTCTAACTCTATCCCAACTATGAAGCTGGTCCAATAAAAGATATTGCCCTAAGAAATCCTTGCTTATCAAGTAGCACAAAATTTTAAGTTCTGAGTGGCCATCTTGGAAACATTACTTTTACTGCTATCCTCTGAGAGAGTTGCTAAAATATTTATAGTGAAGAGTGTTTCTTAGATGCATGTTGGCATTCAGTTTTAAAGCAGGTAGTAGTTGTCATACAAGCCATTAGAAGAAAGTTCCTTGATTTGGTTGCGCAACTGAAAAAATAGTTTATAATAAATTCTTAAGAGGGAAAATATTTGGTACAAACATTCATTATCTTAAAACATTTTGGGAGTTAACCAGTTTATACTATGTAAACTATCTCTGTCACTGTGTGTTATTAAAATGATTTTTTATTCTGGAAAAGAACACTTCAGTTTTTATTGATGGTAATTTTCAAATAAATGTGACATTTATCATATTATCAAATAAATTAAACTCTTAGTCGGTAGCTTTCATAATTCATCTGTGCTAACTATATCAGTTGAATATTTTGGTGTGAAAATTTATGATGAGACAAATAATTTCCCAGACTTACTAACTTTTAAAATATTTAATTATTTCCATACCCATTTGCTGTAGCTTATATGTTTAGGTTCAAATTATTCTTGAACCCAAGAAGCAGTTAGAAATTTTAAATAATAAAAATAGTACTTTGGAGGAGGTTAGATAGAAAAAGAAATTCTGCATCTGTGTCATCTTGGCAGGAAGTGGCCATTGGTGTCCCTCAGGGGTTGGTGCTTGGCCCAGTGCTATTCAACATCTTCATCTATGATTTGGATGTGGGGGTGAAGAACTCACTGGTCAAGTTTGCGGGCAACACCAAGTTATGGGGAAGCATGATCATGCTTGAAGATAGGCTGCACATATAGGCAGACCTAGATAGGCTTGTAAGTTGGGCAGACCGGAACCAGGTGAAGCTCAATGTCGAGAAATGTAAAGTGCTCCACCTGGGGATGAACAATCCTCTGCACACCTACAGGCTTGGCAACGCCAACCTGACCTGCACTACGAATGAAAGGGACCTGGGGGTAACAATTGATCACAGTATGAACATGAGCTGGCATTGTGACGCAGTAGCCAGTAGGGCCAGCAATACCCTGACATGCATCAATCAATACATCTCCAGCAAAACCAAAGACGTGATTCTTTCGCTGTACTCGGCATTGGTGAGACCGCAGCTGGAGT